AAGCTCCGAGTGCGTTCCAGACTCCGCGATACGCCCTTGGTCAAAGACATGAATCGTGTCCGCGTGCTGGATTGTACTCAACCGATGTGCAATCGTAATCGTGGTTCTTCCCTTTGCCGCACGGTCAAGGGCAGATTGTACCACGTGTTCGGACCCAGAGTCAAGTGCCGATGTGGCCTCATCTAAGAGAAGGACTTTTGGAGATCGTACCAAGGCCCTGGCTATAGCAATGCGCTGTTTTTGGCCCGTGGAAAGAAGAGCACCTCTACTTCCTACTGTGGTCTCGAAACCATCCGGAAGCGATATAATGAAATCGTAGATATTGGCTTCTCGGCACGCAATCTCTATCGTTTCGTCAGATATATTTTCTAGCTCGCTCCCAATGGATATATTTTCACGTATTGTTCCTTGATACAACGTTGGTTCCTGGTTGACGACTGCGAGATGAGAGCGGTAGTTGTTAACATTGACTTTGGTGATATCAGTGCCGTCGATCAGGACTTGCCCAGATACTGGGTCATAGAATCGCTCCAGCAATGATATTGTCGTACTCTTGCCACAGCCTGATGCCCCAACAAGAGCAATGTATTGACCCGGTTCGACTTTAAAGCTCACCCCGCGTAAGACAGGTTGCCTAGATCGCGTTGGGTAGTGGAAATGCACATCACGGAACTCAATAGTGCCGTCAACTTGAGGAAGCTCATCACCTGATGGGAACCAAGTATCGATGACGGGCTTTCTTTCCAAAAGAGTCTTCAACTGGCCAGCCGAATGCTTGGCCTTGACCATATCTGGCGCGAGTGAGAAAAACGACCCCGCAGACTGGGCTCCGAAGATTACAGACATGAAGCAGATGAAAAATTTGAACATGTCGTATTCTCGAGACGCTATAAGCGTGCCGCCGTACCAAAAGCCCAGGGCAAAGCAAAGGAATACAATTGGCTGCACCGCGGCAAACGCGAGGCTCGATCTGGCCGCCGACATGAGGCTGTTCTTTTGCTGTTCGTCTATTTCCAATGAATATCTTTCAGCCACTTGCTTCTCCTTGGTCAAGGCCGCGACAGTTTTCATCGCCGCGATACTCTCCGCAGCGAATCCCGCAGAAGATGCGTAAACCTTCGCTGCCCTCGCTTGGAACCTCATGAGAAGCCAAATCCGAAAGAATCCGCATGCAAGCACCACTGGAAGGATGGAGAAGCACACAAGCGCCAGTTTCCAGCCGATTGCCAAGGATAGCGCGAGGCTTCCGACAATATTGGCCAAGCAGTTGAGGATCATCCCCAAAGTAACTCCACTAATGCCTGCGACCTGAGCGGACTCAACAGCCAAGAATGCGGTAAGCGCACCGGAGTTGTTCTCATCTTTGTCGAAGTAGCTGATGTCTTGTCTAAGAAACGAGGACAAGGTGCTTTCTCGAACTCGACGAATGAGATACTCGGCAGTGTGAGCGAACACGCAACCTTGAACCGCCTGTGCGATAAATTGGGCTCCGGCAAGCATCAAGTACATCAATGACCAGAAGTTGGACTCTGATTGGATTGCCCACCTGTCGATTCCCGGGAGTTCAATTGGAGCTAGCACAACCAGCTGCTTGGCAAAAAAGACTACATGTTGCTTGAGGTCAGTATTCCCAGAGACGACCCATCTCACACGAGTGTTTGAGACTCACCGGCTTGGACGGGATTGGAGAGACCGTTGATAATTGCGCTGACCAAACCGACCATCATCAGTATCCAATCCGACTTGTTGAAGCCGTATATGAATCTTATCAGAGTGAAAACCGAGTAACCTTTTCTGGTTTCTTTCAAGCTCTCTCCGCTTTCCTCAACCTCAGTAACTGTGGAGTCTAGTTCTTTTGAGTTAACTTGATTTCCTTCCTTTTCAGTCGAAACATGGTGAACACTTGTGTTTTGAACTAGCTCTTCGGCAATTTCGACAATATCAGCAGCTTCTTCTTCCTCTTTGTTGCTGTCCTCGAGTTTCTGAGTCTGAACAAGAGAGTGATAGACGCCCTTCTTCTCGAGTAGATCATTATGCGTGCCTTGTTCCACCACACAACCTTTGTCCATTACGATGATATTGTCAGCATTCTTTATGGTGGACAGCCGATGGGCAATACAAATGGTTGTACGGCCAGTAGATGCATTATCAAGCGCGGCTTGCACAATCCCTTCTGACTTTGTGTCAAGCGCTGAAGTTGCTTCATCCAAAAGTAATACTTGATCTTGTCAGCCAGGTCTGAAAATGCTTTCGTCGGATTATTTACCTTTCGGGTCAGACACAATTGCGCGCGCGATTGCTATTCTCTGCTTCTGGCCACCTGAGAGCAAAAATCCTCGTTGACCCACGTTGGTTTCATACGCCTCCGGGAGCTGCATGATGAATTCATGAGCGTTTGCTTGCCGTGCAGCTTCTTGTATCAGCTCTTTCTGTGCACTATAGTCGGCACCTTCATTCTTAGTGCCGAGTAGGCCGTAACGAATGTTTTCAAAAATAGAAACGGCGAACAATGTAGGTTCTTGACCCACGAACGCGATTTGCTGCCGGAGCCATCTGAGGTTTAAAGTACTCACGTCGTGCTCGTCCAGATACACAGTCCCGCGAATTGGCTCGTAAAAGCGTTCGACGAGGCCAACAACCGTGCTTTTACCACTCCCTGATGCTCCGACGAGGGCCGTGACTTTATTAGCAGGTATCTCCATCGACACATCCTTCATAATGACGACGTTGGGGCGGGAAGGGTAGACGTGCTTGATATTCTCAAGGCGTATGTGGCCTTGAAGGTCTGGAATTGTATCCCCGGCGTTGCTTGTCGGGTCCAGAGGAGACTCTCGGTCTATTGTAACAAAGAGTTTGGCTGCCGTACTTATAGATTTGAGAAGAGCCTGCAAAAAGGGCCCAATACTTCCAACATTGAAAGCGCCGAGCATGACAGACATGACACAGATGAGCACATCAGATAGGCCTACTTCACCACGAGCGAGGAATATCGATCCCTGCCAAAACCCCAAACCATAGCTCAGGTTGACGAGCCCAAATGCCATGGCAAGTGTTAAAGCTACTGTGACTTGGAGTTTGATTCCCCATTTCTGGGCGACATCGATGATCCTACCGTACCGGTCAACGAGTCGACGCTGGGAGCCGAATGCGATGGCTACTCTGATCGAGGAAAAGACTTCCTCGGCGACAGTTCCCGCTTGCGAAGTAGCCTCATTCAGCGGCTTCTGATACCGAAGGACAAAGAAAGACGTAATGCCTGAGCTTATGACCAAGGCCACCAGGGTCGAGGTCAAGATGAGCGCCAGCTTCCACGACTTGGCGTATCCGACGGCGAAGCCGGCAACGAATGTAGAGAATGCTGTAATGAGCTGGCCAACTTTCTCAGAAATCCCGTCCTGTATAATCGTCGCATCGGCCGTAATCTTTGTCGTGAACTCTCCTGTGCCAAGCGTGTCAAAGTACCCAATGTTCTGGCGCAAGCATCCCTCGAGATAATCTTTTCGGATCCCATCTGTGATTCTTTCGCCCACGTAAATAAAGCCGATGGTTGAGATGAAGGTAGCGAAAAATGTCCCTACAGCGAGATAGACAAAGTACAAGAGGTACTTGGCCAATTCTTTGTTGAAACCGTCCGAGTCGAGGCTTCCAAGGGCGGTAAACTTTTGGAACACGTCCTGCAGGCCGCCAAACACCAGAGTCATGAGCGGTAATGCCGCGCCCGAAGCCACCGAGCAGAGCGTAGAAATGACGATGACCGTAATGTCCAACTTGGTGGCATATCGAATGAGGTCAGTCAGCCCGTATTTCTTGTCGTTGGGGATCTCGGTCTGGCGTTTTATGATTGCTGCCTCCTCTCTGTTGAGGCTGGTTGTGTCTTCGGTTGATGATCGCGACCGGCTGGATTCTCTCGTCGATGTTGCTCCTGGAGCTTCTTGGTTCTCAAGTGGCTGGAGTTCTACAATGACCGTATCACTCGACCTGCTTGCAATACCCTTTGGGTGAGGCGAGCTTGGGGCCGGAGCCTCATTCGCCATGACGCTCAACACTCGTCTATCGATAGTTGTCGATGATACAGTTGCTCAATTAATTAATGCGCATACGTGATGAGGGAGAAGAACTCGTTCAAGGGCGTGGGCCGCCAACCCCCTTTGCATCCGTCGCTGGGCCTAGACGACTTGTGAGACATTGAATACGTGCTCATCATGTTTCATTCCACCACTATTACGGCAACATTCCTTCTGCCCTTGTTTCGTATGACTCAGGATAAAACCATTGGTGGCCTCCAAATAGATCCTCCCAAATGGAAATAACTGTCAAGAGCCACCGCACCGGCCTCCCCTCATCCATCGGGGTCTCAATTGCCCTTCAGCCGCGCGGGGTTCAAATGAATGGTTTCTTTCCCTGTACTTGGCAGTTAGTCGAAAGCTGTCACAGGCAATGCATGTCAAATAAAGGGACCCCGTAAGACTAAACGACTCTCCATTATATTCAGCTCCCTTGGAATAACGCTGTGGTCTCGAGTCTCATTTTGATTCAATGGTACCGTTCAAGTGAGCAAATTCTTCGGCTACAGAAATGAATTCTTAATCCTCACTATGTTGTTTGATTCAATACAGGGTAGTGCGACTAAGAGTTGTTGTATTCCTTCAATAGCCAGTACCACCTCCTAAAATGCCCAATTCGACACATCAAAAGAATAGAGGTAAGTAAGAGTAATAACTTCTAAGATAGATATAATTAAATCAGTCAACATGATTCTAACGGACCAAGTTTCCTCAAAGGATTGGGTCTTTTCGCTGTTTCAAAGTAAATGTGAGAAAGCAACGCGGTTAGTGGAGAAACTTATAGCATAGACTATTGGGCCTGATCAGTTATCTACTTGGCAACAAACATCTGTTTGTATTCATTTTGCACGCTGAGGGATTTGGCTCTTCTGAAAATCTTCAGATTTTTATGCTGGTCCTAGCTAGAAGGTAGCCTAGAATAGGTACTGAGAGGACCTATTTTGCCTCGGATCCGCCTGACTTGTCCTGGTCTTGTGGGCGTTCTTCCAAGCTCTTGATCATAGCGTCATTTTCTCTGATTTCACGGCCAAGACTGACTTGCCTGCCCCGATATTCCTCCAATTCCTCGTCTCTCTTGTCCCCAAGCGCGTGCTTCTTGGTTTTGAAGCACGCCGATGCGACAAACGCTTTCTGTACTTTACCTTCTCCTTCAAGCAGTTCATCCCTCTGGCCTTTGATGAATTCATTGGAAGCCTTGAGAGACTCAACTTTAGCGGCCGAGGCTTCATCGAACATTGTTTCGGTTTCTTCGAGAGTTTGTTTGCAGTCCACGGTCTTTTCCTTCAAATCGGCCATCGCCTTCGTCAGCTTGGCAAGCGTCTCGTCGTACTTTTCGGTGCTCATGATGGCAATCCTTGTCAGTTCTTCAAAAAGATACGGAGGTTTTTGGGTTGCTCGATAAATGCTGATAGGAATTCAAGAGATATTTCCTATCGATTTGGTCGAAAATTGCGGAGGCTGTGAGAACTGTTGCGTGGGGTGGTGTTTGAGTTTGGTTTTCTTGAGATCTGCTCAGTGCAGGTATCGGACTTTGGTTTGGCGTCGAAGGTGTGTTCTGTTGTAGGGGTTTTCTGACAGTATAGAAAAAGAAATCCAACAGGTAAACCGGGCACCTAGATCAGTATTTATAGACTTTTGCGAGTCTACGATTGGATTCGTTTAAGAGAGAGTCTTTGTTATTATCCGATCAAATCATACTCACAAGTGATGATCGAGTCATAGTCATAATTAATCACGAACACCACATCACAATGGAGCAGAAGCATCAAATCACGATGTAAGATAAGCATTAAATCACAAGAACAAGCAAGCATCATTAGATCATAATAAAACAATCACAACGTCGTGTTTGAGAGGTTGGCAGCCAGGGAATTCGGTGTAGATAGCAAAAGCTCGGACGTAAATTGGTCAATAACTGGCAAAATATTCCACTTAGCGCTATTCACAGCTCATAAACAACAGAGGTTGATTATCAATAGTTGAATTGAGTTACATGGACACTGAGTTCATTGGACGTATCGCTTTGATGCGTGAAATAATACCCTCCTGATACCTAGAGTTGTTTTTCAGTCTGAAGTTTGTTATATGTGAATGACCTTCATTTTCTTGAGATTTGGGGTCTGTCATCTTGTATTGTTGCTTTTGACTTTATACTCAAACTCTCTTCCGTGTATGTGAATGAGAGTTCTAGTACGGAATTAAAAAAAAAACAGCAATGGAAGATGCCATGCCCGAGAAGTTTGCTCTATTAGGCTCGGATTTGAGTACGCTCTCTAGGATGAATTATTACTTGCTGGAGTAAGCCCTCCTAGCCTTTGTTGTGACCTGTTAAAATGACGGGCTTTTGTTAATATTCTATCAAATAGCTAAGGGAAAAAACCTCACTGTTTTTTTGCTGGCATCTGAATTTGGTCCCCAGTTCAACAGCAGCAGTACTCAAAGCTCCGACACAACAAGATCAACCATAAACTTAGCCGTGAAGCAAGGCCCCAGCTTCAATATCACACAATGTAGCCGTTCTATCCCACATCCTTGTTCTCAGGAGTCAGCAAATGTTTTTAACAGGGAATTGATTTGCTTACATATTGGAATATGGTAATCCTTGCTCGCGCGTTCGGCCATTCACGACACTGACCACACTCCCACATACCGAAATCCCTCAAATTCCGTTACGAGAGCAACTTCCCTAACAAGTAAGTCGATGACCATCACTCACTTCTCACCTGTATTGAAAGGCCAGTGAACGCTAACACCTTCCTATCAATTCAGTCTATGAATTTCGAGTTTTGTTACACCATAACGGAGATTAAGGCGTTTGATATCGCTACAACAGATTTGAATCTAAATAATGTCCTATGTTCACGATTTGGCAAGCCTCATGAATGAACAAAAGAGTCACAGGAGCAGCGACTCTGGCGCTAACATAAAGTTCGCTGACAGGAACGGTCTTTTTTTGCGAATACCCCAACTTCAAATTCATCCGCCCCTGAGCTCCAGTATCCGACATCTGCCAGTGTGACATTGACTAATGCTTACTGCAAGCATTGTTCTACTCCAGACCTTTCTATGTTCACCGTGCCGAACTAAAAGCTCACTATTGGCATCTGAATGGAACCCTGATTTCTCAGCCCCCGTCAACCGATTGGCTCGCGGCATTAATGCCTTCACTCTTTCATTTCCGGAATACTACCTTCCGCTTCTTTAACAGTGGTATACGCGCCTCATAACTGAATGCATACCCAAATCGGCTTCAGCAACCGAGTCCGTGTCGTACTGGAGTCCTCACGTGAGACCTACCTTAGTGATAAATGCCATGTTAGCACAGCTGAATACGATGATAAAAAGGCCCCTTGTCTTTGTAGATATAACAAAGGTTTTGACCGTCTCTGTGTATTACGATACCCATCCTTTTTGTTACTTTTAATCACCGAGTCAAGAGCATTGTTTCCCCAGCGCATCAACTTTTGCCGTTGCCAATAATGGGAATGCTGTCGATTCTCATAGGAGCTCTATGGGCCTCTAGTGTGACTTCGTCCATCGAAATTCCTCAGACTCCTACATGGCCATCTGGAAGATGTACTGATAAATCACTGACGATCCCAAGCTGGATCATCACGAAGTACTCCGTATCTGGCGGCACCGCGACCTTCAGGGTCGAGAACCGCGCCGCAGACCCAACTGGTCTCAACGCTGATATTGAATGCAAGGGAAACGGTCAGTGCCAGGGCAGTTCTGGTAGCGATGAAATGCGAGTTTCTCTATCCCAAGAACCAGAAGGCACAAAAATTACCATAACAGAGCTGTGGGTGTGCGGTGATGCCGGTGATAAGTGAGTTGTAGGCCAGACTTACAATCGCATCTTTTACCATCCCGGACTAACCAAACCCTCCACTCAAGAGTCATATTTTACGCCAGTGGCAGCACAGCCATAACTCAATGCCCAGGAAGCGATTGCATTTCTCCTATCCCATACCTCGTCCAAGGCAGTACTACTTTGCCAGTCCCTCTCTCGCCGGCTCAACCCGTGCCGCCACCTGGCTTTGATCAACCATCATGTTCAAACATCGGCGATGACCAATGGGTTGTAAAAGAAGTGTCATACAAAAACTACACCAAAGGCCAGTGCAAGCAATGGTATAACCCTGATCGTATCTGCTTGGACCCAGTCAACTTTTTGTCCAAGGGCGTATATCTTCACCTCAAGGTTACAAATAACGCAATTGCACACGAGGTTGCCTGCGACTTCACTCCGTCTTACGGCAGCTTCACTCCACCCAGCCCCTTGCGCTGCACTGGTGGAGAGTTCAATGAAATAACCTTGGACGTGACCTTGACCGGCACAGCACCCGATTTTGATTTGAAGATTGAGCAGCTCTGGTACTGTCTTGAGAACCCTTCTACCAACGTGTCTCCGTAAGCTGCCTTATTATTCCCCGTGACTCCTTACATGCTTGATGCTTTGGGATCTAATTTCGATCAGTACCGTCATTGTCGCCAGAGGAAATACCTCGCTCCAACTCGAATGCGCATCAAGTGCAGGAATTACGGGCTCAGCAGACGATGTCATAACCACTTGCACCGATCCATCCAGCAGTCACTCTATACAGGGAACTCAGGATGCCAAGAATTCCTTGCCTAATTTCTCGCTTGTGACAGCGTATCCTGCAAAGGGCGGTTGCACTTTTGATAGTGTTGTCAACCCAACCTGGTACATGCGCGGCATGTTCTTTGAGACGAATGATTATCCTGTGGATAACCCGAAGAGTGCCACTCTCAGCCGATTTACCTGTGGTCTAACAGGTCCAGGTTTCGCCGACTACTTCTTCTATGTATACGAAGCGCTGTCAGGCAGTGGAATCGAGACAGTGTACGTACACCCAACTAACATCGTGATCAGTGATCGCTGATATGTTCTCAGATATAATTGCAACTCTTATAACGATGGAAAGCCCGTGAACAATCACTGGAACTGCACTTACAGTTTCGATCCGTTCAACAAGATTATTTCGCTCAACAAGGTTTGGGAATGCTCGGACAAGAATAAAGAAACCCCGTACGAAAACTCTTCTCTTTGTTTTCCTGAAATTCATTTACCCTAGTCTCCTTTGACATTGGACATATATCTAATCTGAACACTTAAGGCTTTATTTCAACGGTATCGGCACATTTGACTGGAAGGTCGATCCATACTACAGATGCACTACCACCGACACATCTCTCAGCTGTTCTTGGTATGACAGTTTGGCAACCCTTCAACCCGGGCTTCCTTTTGACATTCCCACGGTAACTGTGAGCTTGACTAAAGTCGCTCCTGCTCGCATCGAGAGTCTCAGAGTAAACGGAAATTGGACCTTGGAAGGTGCCGGAGGTATTTTCGGGGTTTAGAAAACGTAGTTGGGACCGTGCTTCATGGCAAGAACGTTAAAAAGCCACAAGCAATTTCTATTCTTTACTATGAGAAATGGGCCATCGTTTTATTGACATGTCATAAAGCACAAGGTGTGGCAAATAAATATCTATGTCTTGTGCCATTGTTTCGTGCCTCACGGTTGGGTTTCCCTGTGGCGATGCATAAAGATAGAACGATTCCAGTGAGAAAGCACACATACATAGTTCCTGATTTCTTTTTTCCTCCTCTCCTATACGAAAGTTCTTGCCACGGCACAACACGGCCGACTAAGGAGGTCGCAATACTCCAACAACCAACTCCTGAGGATCGCCTTAGCGCAACACCTGTGACACGATCGAAAGGGGCCGGAGCGGCCTAGGGTATAATTTATTTTATTATTTTATTTCATCTAGAAATATGTCCCTGCCACAGAATCTGCGACGGCAGCTCTGAGCAATTTGGAAAGTAGCCGGTGTAAGCACGCCACAAGAATGCGCCGGCTCGGCGTAAGCTCAAAGCAGAACCTCAACCCCTCGTGTGTGCGCTGAAACATGAATGGCTGTCTATCTTGCAAAAAATGTCTTTCATTTCTTCATATTCCATATACAATCAACGAGGCGTTGGGGAGTGTCAGCGTGTAGCTTCACAGCCGAAGCAACATCGGGTCTATTAGTTTAGCATGTCAAAACTATGAGGCCACTTAACGTGACTCCAAAGCCAGTGTCGTGATCGAGCATATTGTTGTCTCAAAGTGAGCCCATCCTTTGCTCTGCCGCCCTATTTTTATATTTAGTCCTAGATGCCCCAAAACATAAGCCCGCCCCAGGCAATGTGATGAGGGGAGAACACAGTGGTGGCGATGTCAAAAATATCTCGGGATATGCCATTTTCTTATCAGAATTTAATGGTCTGGAATCGGCACCATTACATTTACGTCCAGAAATTTCAGGGCAAG